GGAAAATGTGCAGCAGTTCAAATATCTTAATGCATTACCTGTTCCTGTAGACTTTGACAAGCAAGGCACACCATAATATTTCATGGAAAATAGCGTATCGTGGCATCATACATCTCATCAGAAATTCAACTAATTAAAACTAGAAAGAGAAATCAACAGGAAAATAAAAATCAGAGAATGGGCACCAAGATGAAGAAGCAGAGACTTCAAGTGGTGTCTGAGACTCAAACAGCCGCCCAAATACCAACAGGTCCAAAACTTTTATCTTCTGTGATGAAATGGCGATTTTCATGTGTATGCCACATACCCTGCAGTGGCAAATCTCATAACCATGGCTACTGATATGTGGGACACTGCCCTTCTTTCCAAAATATTATGTGGTGACTTTGTGGGAAATGTCGCCAAATATCATCTATCATGTTTGACGAAATACCAGAACCGTCATCGTTCTTTTCGGTCCGACTGCAGCCCGACACGTGAGATTTAGGGTTGACAAAGATTTTTGCCTTTAAAATATCAACTCCATAGTTGCCAATATCGGGACAAAACATCGCAAACACTGCCAGTTTTTCATGCATTCACTGGATGCGACACTGCCTCTTCATTTTTCCGAAAGGGTAAGCAAAACGTATGGCAAGCATGGAAGAGTTAACCTCCAGTCACAGAAGCCTTCCTTTTCATCCAAGACAATCCATTCGAGACAGTACACGCAGATTCTGATCATTTTCAACTTGTGGAATATTTTACCATCGTAATGAACAATAAATCAAGTACAAATTAAAAGGTGAATGCTGGTTAAAGGGAATTATTCTTAAAGGAAAACAAAACCCTTGAAAACCTTCCCCAACGCAAATAGACATACATGTTTAAACATTTGTTTTCCTTTATTATTATTCTGCTACTCATTGAATGTTGATAGCTATCACTATGTTTATTTTTGTTTCATTTTATTCATGACTTAATTGGATTCTCAACAGTATGCATTCTTCCAAGCCGGGGTTTAGACAATCAGTCTCCAGGCTCAGCCATACCTTCCTGTGCCATAGGGTTGACGTTGGACAATGCACGATGGTCGTTAGAGTCCAGTTTGGAATGCGATACAAGAAGCCACCAAGGCCTGTACAAAGCTGGTCAAGTGTTGTTACAAGTCTGAACGTGGCTGTCGAAACTGTAAATATGTTCAACTTGGTTTATCATGTACAGACCTCTGTAGCTGTATATGTGAAAAAAGAAGTATTACAAACTGATTCTATTTCTAAGTTATTTACTTTTTAAAAGTGACGAGTGGTCAGTATTTCTTCTGAATGCACCATAAAAATATGTAATTCAACCATTTTGTGTACTGCATGCTGGTATTGTTTGTATACATCATGGTCATAATAAATTTCCTTTGTATTTCTTCATAAAAATAATGACAGCAATGGTTTTATCATTTCTGAAAATGTACGAAACGATGTATTACATTAGCTTGTATGTTAATTATTAAGAGAACTATGACAAAGTAGATTTTCAAAAATCCATGGCGGCCATCTTGGATTTTAGAAGATTTCATGCCCCTGATACGACCCAATTTTTTGGAGTATGAAAGTTTTTTGATCAGTATACCAATAAGTACCTATGAAAAACATATGGCACTTTTGTCATTCGTGTAACGATGTTTTCGCTAAATTACCCCACTATAAAAGTATATTTAGGTAAGCTCAAAATCCTTTGATTTCTATTGCTAATTCTGTTATTTAGGATCAAGAAATCTATACAACGCGGAAAACCTGTAATCACTGAATTATATCTCCTTACTAATACAGCGAGAACAATTGACCAATGACATACATATATTTAGTTGTGGAAATGCCAATTCTCAAGTAACTGATGATCTTCATATTTCCTATTATAAAACATACAAAAATATCCTCTTAAAGTCACAGGAATTAGCGACAGCATCCATAACAGTTTTAAGTGTATTTTTAAAAACTGACAGAACAAAAATGTTTAAGAATTACTAGGAAATATGTGAAAAGGGATATTCCGAAAAATTAATCTAGCTCCTGGGCTTCTCCAAGTTAGTCATGAAAAAGCTCTATCATTCATGATGAAAAATTCAATTCATTTAAAAGAGCAAAATAAGGAAGGAGACAAACGGTGGCGATGTTCACGTGTTACGATAGTAAAATAAAGTTCTATATTCCTGGTGTGGTAAACTATTATGTTGCAACGAATTTGTTTTAATTTATTTTAATATGAACGTTGTTTAGATTGAGTTTATATTTAAAAACACGCATAGCGTGTAGTGTTAGATATGTATTGCGCAACTTCCGACTATTCTCCAAAGTTGTAGAAGATTCTCGAGAGTAAAAATCAACAATATGTGTGTGTATATAAACGTTTTAACCATTATTGTTACGTAAGATTGAAGTTTCTAGAAAACGTTCCCACACTATAAATATAACTAACGCGACGCGCCAAGAGAGTGTCTATTATTAGTTCGCTATAATCAGCATACTATAAACTCCGAAAGCTATAATTGTGATTTTTAGAAAACTTAAGATATTCTACCAGGAATATTTATAAATTTCGAACATTACAAATCGTTTAACTTCAGTGGATTCTCATGGGACATAAGTATCTTTTTTACGAAAATATTACCAACTTCGATGGTGGAAAACAGCGTGTGTAGCCAAGGAGACAAAGCTAGCTAGCTTTCTGGCGAATCGTACTTACATCAACCGGCTCATCATAAAACCCTCGATAAGATATTAAGAAAGTTCTAAATTAGAAAGAAAATTTTATATTGTTTGTAAGTTTGTGTTCCTTTTGTTTATGAATCATTGTTTGTAATAACT